ATATATATATATATACAGTCAATGACATCATCAAGAGAAGTTTGGCTTCAGCTGGGTGCCCAGCACAAAGGGAACCTCAGTTGTGCAGGCCTGACAACAGCCAAAAACGCCCAGATGGAGTCACCCTGCAGCCGTGGAGGGAAGGTAAACAGGTCGTGTGGGACTACACGTGTGCATCCACATTGGCTGATACCTATCTACCTTACAGCGCAGCTGAGGGAGGCGGGGCGGCCACCTTCAGGGAGACCCAGAAAACTAACAAGTACAGGGACCTGGAACGTTGTTACAGGTTCGTGCCAATAGGCTCTGAGACTCTGGGCGCCTGGGGTAAATGTGCACTTAAGTTCCTGAAGGAGCTGGGCGAGGAACTCATTGGGAAGACAAGAGACCCAAGAGCGGCCAGTTTCATGTTCCAGCGCCTCAGTGTCGCTGTTCAGAGGAGAAATGCGTGCTGTATCTTGGGTACGCACCCGACCCCCGAGGAGCTGGACGAGGTCTTCGAACACTGATTGGACGAACGTGAGGAAGAGATCCACCACCACACAACCCAATGCTCAAAGGTCACGATGGCAGTAGGGGAGGCCATGAGGGGTAGACCTGTATGAAATTTGAACCCGGGATGTGGCATCTTGGGGAGAGGAAAACTTTAATAGTGAACTTTCATTAAAGTTGAGAAACGAGATGTATAAGTTCGCCTCAAGCTAATGACCGACCTGGCTGGAGTCGTTTGTAGCTGACCAAGCGAGAAATGATGGCAGGATTTAGAGGCTGAGTGACCCCCCTCTGAATGATGTGGATGAGAGCACTACAATATAATATATATATATATATATATATATATATATATATATATATATATATATATATATATATATATGGAAGGGAGTACCACCTCTAGCTGGAAGAAGGGGGACCCATAGCCTCGGAGGAAACCACGCGGAGGAGGAAACCAAACCGGAGGAAATATATATATATATATATATATATATATATATAAAACACTTTTGATACCGTGAGTTTACCTTGAGATGATTTCGGGGCTTATCGTCCCCGCGGCCCGTTCCTCGACCAGGCCTTCCCGATTAAAAAAGATATTTTAAAACGAACATTTGTTACTTGGAAGAAGATTAAAAAATCCCGGATTTTTAAAATATCCGGGAAAATAAATTAAGAAGACACCAAACCGCAATAAGATCCAGATTAGCTTTCACAAGGAAGGAAAGATTGCCAGAGGCACTTTAATGCTGCAAAATGCATTGTTCTGACGTTACATAATAAGTGTAGTTCCCAGTATGAGGAGTGGTAATTAGTAGGCGTCTTAAGCCGAAACATCACTACCGGAATGTATGGTATAAGGGAGATATGATAACGGGATTTATGTCAGGAAATGTTAGCAACAAGGCAGCTAACATTATTCTATCTCGCCCTTCTGTGTCCACATTTGTATTATGCAGCTTAGTTTTAATCTCTGTTATACATTGATCATAAATGTACTTCAACTGATGCATGGAGCGTGGCAAAGTTACTCCCAGCAACGACAAGCCTTCCTCGTGAAGACATTAATAATGCTTCATTAACATTCTCTTGACAGGCGAAGAGTCAGACGTGATCGACATGCCTGAAGTATATGGGTGTGTCAAGTGTCATCATCCCTCACACACCACACACACTGTGTCGACCTCCAGGAGTCATCACCCCCCCCCCCCCCGACACACACACACTGGACACGATGATTGAAGCGTGGTGATGATAATGACTGAGGTAAACAAGATGAGTGATGGTGTTGTTCTCACACTCAGGTGATATAACTGAGGCAGGTGCCAGGCATCCCGCCTCGGGTGTGTCCTGAACAATGCTCTGTGCTCAGTACTCAGTACTCTGTGCTCAGTACTCCTATAGTGCAGAGCAATTCTGGGTCCTGAACACCAGAGATCAAGAAGAAAGTCAATAAAGCCATAACAAGGATTCGAACCAGCACACTGAGTGCTCCCAAGCGACATGCTAAAAAAGCAATGCAATCTGGGATTCAACTGAATCCTCTAGAGATCCTGAGGCTTCCACTGAAGACCACTCACAAATGCTACAGTGGAAGCCTCGTGTACCTTAGAGGATTCAGTTGCATCCCAGAATACATGGCTTTTTAGCATGTCGTGGCCGAGTTGGTTAGGGCGTACGCTTGGGAGTACTCGGTGAGCAGGTTCGAATCCTCATTATGGCTTCACTGATTTTCTCGTTGATTTCTTTGTGCAACAGAGAACAAGATATCACCCTAGATAACGCTGGTAGTGACATCTGTCACCCTAGATATCAAGCCTTTACAGAATACAAATATGAATACAATATAGGTCTACAGGACCTCTACTGTATTCTGCACGCTGCTACAAAACCTGTACTGTATTCCACACGCTTCTACATAATATGCACTATATTTCACCTTCTACAGGACCTGTACTACATTCCAGTATCACAGGCTTCTACAGGACCAGTACTAGCCTGAAGACCAGTATGACATCAACAGGACCCGTACTGTAGACCAGTACGGTGGTCTACAGTACGGGTCCTGTTTATATATCTGATACCAGCTTTCAGGACAGGTCAAGTCCTGTAGAAGCCTGTGATGCTGGAATGCAGTACAGATCCTGTAGAACAATGTGATACTGGAATGCGGTACAGGTCCTGTAGAACAATGTGATACTGGAATGCAGTACAGATCCTGTAGAACAATGTGATACTGGAATGCGGTACAGGTCCTATAGAACAATGTGATACTGGAATGCGGTACAGGTCCTATAGAACAATGTGATACTGGAATGCGGTACAGGTCCTATAGAACAATGTGATACTGGAATGCGGTACAGGTCCTGTAGAACAATGTGATACTGGAATGCGGTACAGGTCCTGTAGAACAATGTGATACTGGAATGCGGTACAGGTCCTGTAGAACAATGTGATACTGGAATGCGGTACAGGTCCTATAGAACAATGTGATACTGGAATGCGGTACAGGTCCTATAGAACAATGTGATACTGGAATGCGGTACAGGTCCTGTAGAACAATGTGATACTGGAATGCGGTACAGGTCCTGTAGAACAATGTGATACTGGAATGCGGTACAGGTCCTGTAGAACAATGTGATACTGGAATGCAGTACAGGTCCTGTAGAACAATGTGATACTGGAATGCGGTACAGGTCCTGTAGAACAATGTGATACTGGAATGATACTGGAGACCTCTCGATACTCTCCCCAGGTATGTTCTAGAACCCAGGCTTAATGTGTGTCACTAACGAACTGATATTGAGGAATTAGAAGACGTCCATTAGCAAAACTATTGTAAATAAATAGGAAATAAACTGTACAAAAACCCTTGTTATTGACCTGAGTTTATTTCAACATAAAGTACACTATACTGGGAGCCGGTCGGCCGAGCGGACAGCACGCTGGACTTGTGATCCTGTGGTCCTGGGTTCGATCCCAGGCGCCGGCGAGAAACATTGGGCAGAGTTTCTTTCACCCTATGCCCCTGTTACCTAGCAGTAAAATAGGTACCTGGGTGTTAGTCAGCTGTCACGGGCTGCTTCCTGGGGGTGGAGGCCTGGTCGAGGACCGGGCCGCGGGGACACTAAAAAGCCCCGAAATCATCTCAAGATAACCTCAAGATATACCTATTAAACACCTTTCCGTCTTGATCGTGTATAGAACATGATCTCAACGTACATCATTAGAACTATACAAACGTACATTGAATTTGTTATATAAATATAAACTTTCATATTATTAATATTATACAGAATAATGTGTACTCAGCTAGTTGTACTCGCATACGTGTACGTGTGCGTCTGTATGTATGTTTTTGGGCATGTGTGTGTACGTGATAGGAGATATCTATATATATATTTTTCGCCTGAAGAAAGTTTCCTGGTGTGTGAGAACGTTTCAATTACTTTCCAGTAGTGACCGATTTTTCCTCAGCCTGTTGCGGGTGATGACGTGAGCGAGGTCCTTGAACGTTGTGTTGTCTAAGGGAGAGAGAGAGAGAGAGAGAGAGAGAGAGAGAGAGAGAGAGAGAGAGAGAGAGAGATAACCTGAATATTTTCCTATTATTTCACAGGCTGCGGCTGACCCTTTGACGTCACCGCCGGCGGTGGCGAAGCTAGTCCCGGAAAACAACTTCGCCAGGCGTGGTGTTTTTTGGCTGGTGTTGTGGCTGTGTATCCCTGACCTTCGCCCGGGTACAAAAGGCAGCTCCCGGCGGATGCTGGAGTTATTCCGCGCGAGGCCTAGCCGCGAGAGCATCAGTGTTGGGGGTAATAGAGCTGTAGTGTGGTGGTGTATTGCGTGATACAAGGATGTCTGAGGTGGAGGTGCAGCCGATGGTGTCGTGGGCCTCGGTCATCCTTCTGCTCGGCCACTGTCTCCTGGCGCTCGGAGTGGTCTTGTTCTGTATATTATCCTGCACCTGCCTCCGGAGGTATCTGCAGCGACCCGAGAAAGCTGTTCCTCTACCCACGCCACCCACCTGTCGACGACACCTGTCTGTCAAAGCTGTCTACCCACCCACGCCACCCATCACTAGAGAGCAGCTGTCTTTTTACACCATCTGTCGCCCCACACCGCCCGACAGCCCTCTCATCTCTGTCAAGCCAGCAGGGAAGACTGCGACACCTCTCAGCCACTTCACTGTGGACATGACTGCCACTCAGCCTTACCTGAGTCACTGTTACACTCCTCCAGCTACCCCGCCTCTCAAGCCACATATTGCTAACGCAAGTATCAACTGCACACAGCCAGCTGGGCCACTCCAGCTGCTCCAGCCAGGTGGCTTACAGCAACTAGTCCAGTCAGGAGGCCCACACCAGCTGCCACGGAGCCAGTTGACCCAGACAGGAGTGCCACAGCCTCTCCGCCCCAATTGGTCAGTGCCTGGCCACCTCTACCGCTTACTCGACTCCTGAAGAAGGTCATGGAAAGTGTTGAGAGTGTGAGGGGCCTCATGACCTCTAAATACGAGGTCACGCAATGACTGACCCGGCTTGTTGATTTGCCACTGTGCATCCTGATGTGCGGGGCACTGTAACCTGTGTGTGCTGGCAGCGGGGGACTGTAACCTGTGTGTGCTGGCAGCGGGGGACTGTAACCTGTGTGTGCTGGCAGCGGGGCACTGTAACCTGTGTGTGCTGGCAGCGGGGGACAGCTGTCACGTGATGAAACGTGCTCCTGTCTTTATCTGTGACGTCTTACAGCTGTGACTGTCAGCTGTGTGCACATTCATTTTGTGTTTATTTACTTCTGCGAAGAGCTGTTGATTTCCTGTTGCATAAGTTATGTAGGTGTGTCACCATATTTGTCGACATCTGATAATTGTGTCGACGCCCACCTGAGCATGTCGACGCCCACCTGAGCATCTCGACGCCCACCTGAGCATGCCCACGCCCACCTGAGCATGTCGACGCCCACCTGAGCATGTCGACGCCCACCTGAGCATGTCGACGCCCACCTGAGCATGTCGACGCCCACCTGAGCATGTCGACGCCCACCTGAGCATGTCGACGCCCACCTGAGCATGTCGACGCCCACCTGAGCATGCCCACGCCCACCTGAGCATGCCCACGCCCACCTGAGCATGCCCACGCCCACCTGAGCATGTCGACGTCCACCTGAGCATGTCGACGCCCACCTGAGCATGTCGACGTCCACCTGAGCATGTCGACGCCCACCTGAGCATGTCGACACCCAGCTGAGCATGCCCACGTCCACCTGAGCATGTCGATGCCCACCTGAGCATGTCGACACCCATCTGAGCATGTCGACACCCAGCTGAGCATGTCGACGCCCACCTGAGCATGTCGACGTCCAGCTGAGCATGCCCACGCCCACCTGAGCATGCCGACACCCACCTGAGCATGTCGACGCCCACCTGAGCATGCCGACGCCCACCTGAGCATGCCCACGCCCACCTGAGCATGCCCACGCCCACCTGAGCATGCCCACGCCCACCTGAGCATGCCCACGCCCACCTGAGCATGCCCACGCCCACCTGAGCATGTCCACGCCCACCTGAGCATGCCCAGGCTTACCTGAGCATGCCCAGGCTTACCTGAGCATGCCCACGTCAACCTGAGCATGTCGACGCCCACCTGAGCATACCGACGTCCACCTGAGCATACCGACGTCCACCTAAGCATACCGACGTCCACCTGAGCATGCCCACGTCCACCTGAGCATACCCACGTCCACCTGAGCATACCGACGTCCACCTGAGCATACCGACGTCCACCTGAGCATGCCGACGTCCACCTGAGCATACCCACGCCCACCTGTGCATACCGACGCCCACCTGTGCATACCGACGCCCACCTGAGCATCTCGACGCCCACCTGAGCATGCCCACGCCCACCTGAGCATGTCCACGCCCACCTGAGCATGCCCACGCCCACCTGAGCATGTCGACGCCCACCTGAGCATGTCGACGCCCACCTGAGCATGCCCACGCCCACCTGAGCATGCCCACGCCCACCTGAGCATGTCGACGCCCACCTGAGCATGTCGACGCCCACCTGAGCATGCCCACGCCCACCTGAGCATGTCGACGCCCACCTGAGCATGTCGACGCCCACCTGAGCATGTCGACGCCCACCTGAGCATGTCGACGTCCACCTGAGCATGTCGACGCCCATCTGAGCATGTCGACACCCAGCTGAGCATGCCCACGCCCACCTGAGCATGTCGACGCCCACCTGAGCATGCCGACGCCCACCTGAGCATGCCCACGCCCACCTGAGCATGCCCACGCCCACCTGAGCATGCCCACGCCCACCTGAGCATGCCCACGCCCACCTGAGCATGTCCACGCCCACCTGAGCATGCCCAGGCTTACCTGAGCATGCCCACGTCAACCTGAGCATGTCGACGTCCACCTGAGCATACCGACGTCCACCTAAGCATACCGACGTCCACCTGAGCATGTCGACGCCCACCTGAGCATACCCACGTCCACCTGAGCATACCCACGTCCACCTGAGCATACCGACGTCCACCTGAGCATACCGACGTCCACCTGAGCATGCCGACGTCCACCTGAGCATACCCACGCCCACCTGTGCATACCGACGCCCACCTGAGCATACTCACGTCCACCTGAGCATGCCGACGCCCACCTGAGCATACCGACGTCCACCTGAGCATACCGACGCCCACCTGAGCATACCGACGTCCACCTGAGCATACCGACGTCCACCTGAGCATACCGACGTCCACCTGAGCATACCGACGCCCACCTGAGCATACCGACGCCCACCTGAGCATACCGACGCCCACCTGAGCATACCGACGTCCACCTGAGCATACCGACGTCCACCTGAGCATACTCACGTCCACCTGAGCATGCCGACGCCCACCTGAGCATACCGACGTCCACCTGAGCATACCGACGCCCACCTGAGCATACTCACGTCTGTCTTAGAATGTCGAAGGAAATTTCAGGAGGTGTTGTTTCATGTAACTGTTTGAGTGTGTAGGTAAAGATGGACCGGTCGCCTGGGGCTCAGTGCTCGTCTGCATGGTTCAGGTGTGGGAAAGTCCACACACACACACACACACACACACACACACCTGCCCAGGTGTGGCGATATCCTTCCCAGTACTTCCAGGTCCACGTATGGATGCCGATGTGTAGAAATATGTGCTTGTAAACGCGTTCCTCAGAATGTGTAGACATCCACACAAGCGTCGACTTGCAGGTGTGTCAGCAGACAGGTGTGTCAACATACGCTTGCCACCAAACACCTGCAAGAGAGGACCGGAAGCCTCAACAGGGGTCACGGTGGCTGAAGAAGGCAACAAACCAGCTTCAACTGGTCCACAACGTGAAGATGGGCCGCGTGGTATCCAGTTCCAGCAGCCCGCTGGAAAGTGAGTGGGTCGGATATTCCAGATCACCCCCGGCCCGCCTCCCACCCCCCCTCACTAATGGCCGCCACTGCTGGAAACGGGCTCTCCCTGGTAGAGGGAAGCCAGCCTTATTGTTCACCCTAATGGGCACCTGGACACAATCCTTCTCGGGTTTTCCAGGACGACTCTGAGTGTTGGGTCTCGTGACGTACCCAGCACTACTGGGTCTTATTGATTACCCTGGACTCTGAGACGTGTTACCCAGACGTGGAGGGTCTCAGGGCAGACCCAGACGTGGTGGGTCTCAGGGTAGACCCAGACGTGGAGGGTCTCAGGGCAGACCCAGACGTGGTAGGTCTCAGGGCAGACCCAGACGTGGAGGGTCTCAGGGCAGACCCAGACGTGGAGGGTCTCAGGGCAGACCCAGACGTGGTGGGTCTCAGGGCAGACCCAGACGTGGAGGGTCTCAGGGCAGACCCAGACGTGGTGCGTCAGGGCAGACCCAGACGTGGAGGGTCTCAGGGCAGACCCAGACGTGGTGGGTCTCAGGGCAGACCCAGACGTGGTGCGTCAGGGCAGACCCAGACGTGGAGGGTCTCAGGGCAGACCCAGACGTGGTGGGTCTGTGGGCAGACCCAGACGTGGTGGGTCTCTGGGCAGACCTAGACGCCGCTGCCTCCCTGCCAAAGGTCGGGGACATCTTGTGAGGAGCGGCACTACAAAAGCTACTGAATTAAATCAGCGATTAATTTGTAATATCTAATCTCCATTCGACTTAGAGTGATCGCTCTGACTACGACCTCACTCCTTACATGGTCGGCGTTCGATGCCGATAGTGTGTGTGGTTGTGCACTGTTTCTCTTTGACCCAATATTCCTTCCAGTGGCATATTGTCATTCTGGATTAGTTATTTATCTTGATAATTAACTTTACCTTGAAATATTTACCACAAAAGTCAAAATACCTTACCATCTGCCTGTTGGAAAGTGGGAAGGAAGTTGAAAATATGTCTGGAATTTAAATATTTCCTGAGAAGAAAATCTGGAAAAACAAGTTTGACAAATAAGCTTCTTATGTTATCATAAAAGAACTGGAAATTTGAACTGTGAATAATTGAGCATTAAGAGGAAGAGATGGATGACAGATACTTCCGGTGAGGTCGTGTTAAAGGTTAACTTGTGAGCCGCAAGGTCACCAGCGGGTACCCGCCAAACTACGACGTTCCTACAACGTTCCAACAAGTTTTAACACTTCCTAACCAGTTATAACAACCAATATAGCAAGTTGTAACAACGTTCTAATACGTCATAAACACGTTAAGCCAAGATGTAACAACTTTATTACAAGTTGTAACAAGTGGAAAATAGACATTTACGGTTTGTGTTTCCAGGGCTACACACTGTGGGCTCCCGGGCTCACCATGGCGGCATTCTCCATTGTCATCTTCTCTCACTGAGGAAATGAGAGCTTTAAAGAATTTGTGATATACATCAATATTGTACACTTGATACCAAAGTCTTGTATTATACTATTTATAGTCCTGTATTTAATGGAAATAAAATTGTATGGAACTGTTCTTAATTTGTTTTCATTATTCTTGAACAATATAAATTACTCGACAGTGAAATTTAATGAAGGATAATATTTGTTTGTTGTGTTATGTCGGCAGTCTGTTTAGTTTAGTTCATTCCTTATGCACCGGTCGGCCGAGCGGACAGCACACTGGACTTGTGATCCTGTGGTCCCGGGTTCGATCCCAGGCGCCGGCGAGAAACAATGGGCACAGTTTCTTTCACCCTATGCCCCTGTTACCTAGCAGTAAAATAGGTACCTGGGTGTTAATCAGCTGTCACGGGCTGCTTCCTGGGGGTGGAGGCCTGGTCGAAGACCGGGCCGCGGGGACACTAAAGCCCCCGAAATCATCTCAAGATAACCCCATACCCATCCTGTGAGCGGTAGTGGACAACGTTACAGAGCCACATAATAGGCTGAAAAACACAAAAAAAAACTGATGCAGCTAAGCATGTTAGTGTTGATAAGTCAGTTACACAGTTAAGTGTACATATCAACAGGTTTTTCTTGTAAACCTGATGAGCTCAAGAACTGTCTCTCAACAAGTTCTCAGCTATTGACGTGTCTGGGTGTACTCACCTAGTTGTGCTTGCGAGGGTTGAGCTTTGGCTCTTTGGTCCCGCCTCTCAACCGTCAATCAACTGACGTACAGATTCCTGAGCCTACTGGGCGTGACTCCAGGTGTGACTCTGGACCAGTGTTACCTGCCAGCCTAATCTGTCCTCGATCTGGAAGACAGGTGCACATAACCCTCCATTCATTTCTACATTCATTTGTAATTCCCATTCATCCGTGCGCCTATACCATCTACACCCGTCTCTGAAGGAGGGCCAGACCTGGTGACCACACCAGGGCCTCGCCCGCCCCTCACCACACAACTCACACAGTCCTTAAACAATCAAGGAAGACTATATAATATATCCTGATCATATATTCTGTAAGACTAGTAACATATTCCGAGGTTTCACTGACAAAAACACGGCCAGAGTAGTGTGAGACTCTCAAGTACCTCCTCCAGGATCAGTGCTGGAGTCTTGTGAGAGCTTCCGTAGTCATCAATCATCATTATACATAACTCGCTCATGTATGAAATCTGATTCAAATTATGGACTGTGGTGACTTCCGCGTGATGGAGGACGATCAGGTTTACCAGACTGAGGCCTCGGGGGTAGCGGGTATACTGCGGTAGACTGCGGTAGACTGTCCTGCAGGAAGTTAACTGTCTCCGCACACCAGCGTCATCTTCTTAATGACACCGGAAAAGAAGTTCGTAAAAATAACTAAACATTGAGTTACGAGATTGTTGGTAAAACTTGGCGTTGTGGATTGTAATTAAGAAGCAATAAGATGCTTATCTTAACATACTAAGAAGGTTAGTTTAGGTCGGTGTTTTCTATTCAGCTTTTCAGGGTAAACTCAAATATTCACAATTAGTATGTCACATATGCACTTATTAATAAGCCAAATATTGACTATAAGCAAGTGAGAGAACGGGTTGTGCAGTGTTGCTTGGCCATAACTGCCAGAGTCAGGTGTGAGGAACATACAGCAGTGTTGCAATTGGCCATATGTGAAGATAGCGTAAGATGACAGTAGGGAGGATAACAGGATATAGTACGCTAATGATATAATTAGTTGACAAGCACAGATAGCAACAGCCGTTAGCAAGACACTAATGAGAACACCTTGGATCACATCCCAGTGTGGGAGTGTGTGGGAGTGTGTGGGAGTGTGTGGGAGTGTGTGGGAGTGTGTGGGAGAGTGTGGGAGAGTGTAGGAGTGTGTGGGAGTGTGTGGGAGTGTGTGGGAGTGTGTGGGAGTGTGTGGGAGAGTGTGGGAGAGTGTGGGAGAGTGTGGGAGTGTGTGGGAGTGTGTGGGAGTGTGGGAGTGTGTGGGAGTGTGTGGGAGTGTGTGGGAGAGTGTGGGAGTGTGTGGGAGAGTGTGGGAGTGTGTGGGAGAGTGTGGGAGTTTGTGGGAGAGTGTACTCACCTAGTTGTACTCACCTAGTTGTGTTTGCGGGGGTTGAGCTCTGGCTCTTTGGTCCCGCCTCTCAACCGTCAATCAACAGGTGTACAGATTCATGAGCCTATCGGGCTCTGTCATATCTACACTTGAAACTGTGTATGGAGTCAGCCTCCACCACATCACTTCCTAATGCATTCCATTTGTCAACCACTCTGACACTAAAAAAGTTCTTTCTAATATCTCTGTGGCTCATTTGGGCACTCAGTTTCCACCTGTGTCCCCTTGTGCGTGTTCCCCTTGAAGAGAGAGTGTGGGAGAGTGTGGGAGTGTGTGGGAGTGTGTGGGAGTGTGTGGGAGTGTGTAGGAGTGTGTGGGAGTGTGGGAGTGTGTGGGAGTGTGTGGGAGTGTGTGGGAGAGTGTGGGAGAGTGTGGGAGTGTGTGGGAGAGTGTGGGAGTGTGTGGGAGAGTGTGGGAGAGTGTGGGAGTGTGTGGGAGTGTGTGGGAGTGTGTGGGAGAGTGTGGGAGTGTGTGGGAGAGTGTGGGAGTGTGTGGGAGAGTGTGGGAGTGTGTGGGAGAGTGTGGGAGTGTGTGGGAGAGTGTGGGAGTGTGTGGGAGAGTGTGGGAGTGTGTGGGAGAGTGTGGGAGAGTGTGGGAGTGTGTGGGAGAGTGTGGGAGAGTGTGGGAGAGTGTGGGAGAGTGTGGGAGTGTGTGGGAGAGTGTGGGAGAGTGTGGGAGTGTGTGGGAGAGTGTGGAAGTGTGTGGGAGTGTGGGGGTGTGTGGGGGTGTGGGAGTGTGTGGGAGAGTGTGGGAGTGTGTGGGAGTGTGTGGGAGAGTGTGGGAGAGTGTGGGAGAGTGTTGGAGTATGTGGGGGGAGTGTGGGAGAGTGTGGGAGTGTGTGGGAGAGTGGGAGAGTGTGGGAGAGTGTGGGAGTATGTGGGGTAGTGTGGGAGAGTGTGGGAGTGTGTGGGAGTGTGGGAGAGTGTTGGAGTATGTGGGGG